CGTGCTTCAGCAGCTAGATTGTCACCCTGGTTTCCTGCAGCATTACGCAACATCCCTCTGATCTTCGCTCTCGCCTCCTTTGTCCGGTTCCACTTCAGAACGCAATCATTTTCTGTTTTTAAAAACCATGAACCGGTGTGTCTCCCGGGAGCTGCTCTGGTTGGCGTCTGAGACGTCGTGAATCCCGGGCAGGTTAGGTTCTGGACCTTTGCGGAGCTTCTGAATCTGGAAGAGCTTTCTCCACCGGCACCTCCTCTCCACCGGCACCTCCTCTCCACTGGCGTCTCTTCAGGTCTGGCGGACGATGTAGGTCAAGTGCGCCCGGGCATGGCAACCGGCCACGGCAGCGCTAAGACGGTCCCAGACGGCAGATGTTTGAGTGTCACTGGGGCGGGCGGGACGGACGGGGGGGGGGAGGAGCAGTAGGGGGCCTGATGGCGGCTCCTGACCCTCCAGGAAGTGGGAGCGTGTCGGGGGCCGGCAGGAAATTCGCTGTGGCAGCTGATTTCCATTACAGTCTGTTTACATACACAACATATCCTGTGTGTTCGTCATCATGCTAACTGCTAACGTGGGCCAGCGACAGTGGCTCAAAGACCCTCATGTTAGTTGTTCTGATAGCGCTTGTGGCTAATCGTGCAGTTCATCATGTTTGTGTACCTGAGGGGGAGGGGGCGCATTCGTAAAAGGGGCAGCTTGTCAACAGCAAACAGACCCCGACCCCCAGCCTGGTCTTTATTCCCCCACCCCCACACCAATCTCCTCATTAATGTCTGATTAAAACACCAGTGATGAGAGTCTCCCTTCTCCCCCCCACCCTGTTGCATTTCCCTTTCACTTCTGCAGAGCGAATGAGGCAGAAAGATACCCCACAATTCCTCACACGTCCAACTTCAAAAATAAAAAATAAAAATTGAGATTTCCTGTGCAGATCCCCTCCACCGTCTGGTGTTTGTCTCCCATGGTGCTGTGTGTTTCCAGCCGGACCCCCCCCCGCCCCCCACCCTCTGTCCAGGGGAGGATACAGCGACGCCGTCGCCCTGACGATGGCCTTGTGCTGCTTGATACCCAGATTGCAAAGCAGCAGATGGTGACGCTAATTAACCCCCTTGTTCGTCGGCCCACAATCCTGGGAACGCAAGGAGCTGCTCACGAACGTTATTTGACTCAGTGTGATGTTTACTGAAGAAGAAAAAATCACACTTTTGTTCAGTAAATTATTAAAAGCATTGTGCTTCACACTAAATATAATTTCACACACGCCGCAAATCCTTGTTTGTTTTATCACCCATTGGTATTTGTGTATAGCACTCCTGTGCTAATGTACTGAGTGATTTACTTGGATATTGCACTTTTATAATACGGCCAAGCTGCGTACCACCCCCCCCCCCACCCCCAATACACCCCCATCAATTTGGCTGGGGCGTGAAAGTGGGTAAGTAGCCCACGTATCTATCTCAGCACTGATGCAGTCCTATGTATGTTTCTAAGTGGGTAGTGCTAAGGGGCGTGGCACCGGTTTGATTGGCGGCGAGGGCAGCCAATCATAGACCTCCCTGTCATGCTGCATTACCGGTTTGCCAGAAGATTTCCATTAGCTCGATGAACAAGTGGACGTCTGCCCCACCAAGCTTGTGCGGTTGCCGCAGCGACACCGGATCCCACATGCCCACCCCGATGGGGACCATAGCCTCAGGTGGAGGCTGATCCTGTCAGAGAAATCGAGCCACTCTCGATGTGAGTCAGTTCTCCCGATTTTCCGTCTTTTGGCCCTGCCAGATGGATTTCCGGTGAGGTCTCCTAACACTGCGGCGTGCCGATAACATTCCCGCGGCGCCCCTCGGCGATCCCGCGCTCCGTGTCCTCCCGCTGTTCTCCGCGTCCTGCTGTTCTCCACATTCTGCTATTCAGACACATTAATAGGGAACAAATGAACCGCTCACTAACCGTGACTGACTTTAAAATTAATTATAAACAGCTTATTAATGTTGTGTTATTTTAGTACAAATTGCACTTAAGTACTGTCCCCAAGGATGATGATGATGAAGATAAAAACATTAGGTGTGTTACTGATGCTGGTTGTGACTTTTGTTGTTTTGTTGGGTTTTTTGGGGGGGGCTATCTTTGGTTGTGATTTGATTATGTTTGGTTGTAGTTGCCGTGGTTTTCACTGTCCAACAGTCTCTTAGCATGCCATCCTCAACCCACTCAGATACACAATAAGCCCCCCTCTAACGGAATGGATGAGGCATGCGGCATTAGAACAAAATGCGTTAAAGGGATGCCAGGCTGCCCACCACGACTCGTCTCGCCAGACGCAGAGCGGTGATCCGTCAGGTGAGAAAGCGTGGGGCCCGGATTTCCGTGACCCCTGCCTGGAAAATGACGGCGCCCATGGAGACGAAGAGACAATCCAGCTTAAAAGGACAAAGCTGGAGAGACTTGAGGTTTAGAGCAAATTGTGATCGCACAAGCGGGTGGGAATTTCACGGGCATTCACCTGCCAGAGAGCTGGGGCCTCTGGTGAACAGTGTGTATTCACTAGTGCACGCTGCTTTTGCTTTTTTTTGTCTTAAGCTCCAGATTCGCGTAAATGTTATGAATGAATTCCTTCTTTTAGTTATTTTGTTTTATCCCGGGTGTGGTGGACGTCTGGAATCTGTCTTTCGTCTTCTGTAAATCATTCTTCGGCCGCTATGCACAGTTCTGACCCCACGCTCTACCGTCTCAACAAAGGGGAGGATTGTTTTTGTTGGGGGCAGGGGGACTTTGGTCGCCTCCTGCGGGCCTCCCTGTTATCGTGTGATTGTTCAGATGGGGACAGAAGAGTCACCTTGGTCACTAACCGTATATCGCATTGAATTGTAAGGCAGACACACGTGAAATACAGCGTCGCTTCCTGTCATTGTTACTGGGGGTGTCCACGAAGCTGCAGCACACTGAAAGCTGTCGTGATACGCGGCACGCTCTCACGCCACCCCCCCCCCAGGATGAAAGCACGCTCCACGCTCTCTTCCCCCGGGAGGGTCGACCCAGTCGCTAAAAATGGACTGAAACCGGCTACAAAGTGGGCTTTGAAGTGGTAGGTGGTCCTCTTGCTGATGCCAAACGTGTGCGTGTGTGTGTATGTGTGTCCACACCCCCACACAGTTTGTAATGGTGTGTTTAACGTGACACTCCTAGCGTGGTGTAAACTGTGAAAATTCAGCACGCAAGGCGATGTTCGAGCGGTAACTCAGGGCAGCTGGCAGCTGTGCTGGACGCGGACGAAGTTTTGAGGCGGGTCAGGTTAAGCCCCGCCCACTTACCCATGTGACTGGCGACACATTTGTGTGTTTACCCTGTAGGGATGTAGGGGTTAGGGTTTTAAATAGATACTTGCTGGCTGATTTTATTCCTTTTCCCCCGTAAAACGGCGTCATGACGGCTGACACAAATCGGTCTGAATGACCATGAGGATAAATGTCAGACAGAGACAGGCAATGATGGAGGGGGGTGGGGTTCCTGATGTGGTTTAAGGGGATGAGTACAGATTGCGTAAAACTGAGATGTAGCAAAAGTTAGATGTGGCTGCTTTTATGGATACATCAATGTAAGAATGTACGCAGGAAGAAGCCTTCCCATTCCAAATCTATCTGACGAAAACCAAAGAGCTGTTATTCACCTCTCAAGAACCATAACTAATGACTCTAGTCACCCTCTTAAGACGCAGTTTATCTACTGCCATCAGGTCGCAGATACAGGACTCACTTTGGCGAGAGTTTCATCCCCACTGCTGTAGCTGCACTTAACTTGCCACATTAATCTTGTACCCATCAAATCTCCGCTACTAATTGTGTGTATATTGTGTGTATATGTCTATGTGTGCCTAACATGTTAGAGGCCTGTAATGTACTTGTGTTTTTTGGAACAGACTGTGAAGACAAATATCCTTATACGACAATAAAATTTATCTATCTGTCTGTCTGACTTTGTCTGTGTATGTCTGTATCTGTCTATATCTGGGTATCTGTGATCTGTGTGTGTGTGAGACAGGGGGCTCTCCACACAGTAGTGACCATCCTGGCCTCTCTGGCTGCCGCCCCCCCCCCCTCCCTAAACCGTTCTGCACCGGCGCCGCCCGCCTGCCCGCCCTCCAGCGGGATGGGGATTGTGTGCCTATTTTTAGACGGGCCCTGAATAATGCATCACCTGCAGATGCAGCGGGACCACATTCTCCGTGGTGTCACGGTTCACACGGGGTAAGCAGGTTCTGCCCCAGACGGGGCTGACGGAGCGGGACCCCAGTGACCTCCCTAAAACCTACCAGCCGAGTGCAGGCGGGAGATTGAGAAATGGCTGACCTTAAACATCCCGGCAGGACGGTATGACGTAATGAGCCAGCGAAGGTCTGCATGAGGCTGCAGACGGCCAAGAGGTAGGGATCCATCACCGTCCCTCACAGGACCCCTGTAATGTAGCCCAGCTGACCCAGTCATGCTCTCCTAATTAAGATGTAAGTTGGGTCAGCTTGGGTCAGGAGGGGCTCTCGGGTAAAACTGAAGTTTGCCCCTGGAGCGAGTGGGGTGTGTCTGCTGGTGTGTCCATCTTTTGGATGCGCTTGCCTCATGGGTTAGTCATCAATTAGGTTTTTGCTGAAGTGAGCGGTGTACTGGAACCTACTGTCACAAACATTCTTTATCTGGAAGCGTGGCTGCTTTTAACCACCTGAATACCATACGTCGGTACTTTGTTGTTGTCATTGTATACTGGTGTTCTTCTTTATCTTCTTCTCGACAGAATCATGACTGTTCTTAGAATGCTCTTCGGATGGTGACCGTATTAATACCTTTAAACTGGATTATAATCCAGAATCATAATACTGAGTTACAGTGACCCTGAGAAACAAACCCTGGATTTAACAAACCCGGCTTGTGCGACTCGACCCGCTAATCCACCTGGTCTGTGAAGAATTCCGCCCGGCCTCCGGTGACCGATTTGTGTTTGTGTGTCTGACCCAGGCCCTGGATATGGACCGCAGCGTACTGTACAAGATGAAGAAGTCCGTGAAGGCCATCTACGCTTCTGGCCTGGGTGAGTGGCAGCCGCCCGATGCAGAAACTCCTTCGGCCGACGTGGGAGGGTATTAGGGTTAGGGTTAGGGATGGTCTGCAACCCAACTGAGCATAATGGGATCCCAGGATTGGGTGCTATAGAGGTCAGAGGTCGGGGTTGGATACTAACACGTCAGGTGGACATTTTACTTGACCCACTGTGGACTAGGATTAGGGTGGCGGCGGTGACTTCACAGGTGAGAGCAGGATCGGGGAGGGAAGACGGGAAGTAGGACGACGGAGGAGATCGGGTACGGCCTATTTTCCGCGCCAATGGTTCTGTTTTTGGGTCAAAGACCTCAGGGCACATTGAACCTCTGCTGGCTGAGCTGTATTCACAAGGAACCTCTGAGTAAGTCCTGCTGCTCTAGCCCCCAAACTGTGCCTGCATTACAACATCGACCCTGCAGCCCAGCTAACTGACAGGAGCTTCCTCCAAAAGTGTGCTCCGGAAGTACAAAGCTAGATGTTTGATTGGTCAGCTGCTTAATTAGTCATTAAATGAGGTGTTTGATGACCTGTGGTTAATTGTTGGGCTGTACCGTTCTTGATTCTGTATTTCGATGGAGGGTGCACCTGATTGGTGGGAGATGGTGGATGGCAGGCGCAGCTGATTGGTTGGAGATGGAGACTGCGGCTGATTGGTTGGAGATGGAGGCTGCGGCTGATTGGTGGGAGATGAACAGATATACCATCACTCCGCATCCCCAGCATGTCGCCTGTGGCTTGGGGGTCACGGCCGTCCCTCATTCTCTGGCTTCACGCACACGTGGCTGCCCACACAGCTAACGCGCGTGGAATGCTGTAACGTCCTCCATGGTGTCGTGTCCAATGAAAAGAGCGAGTGTGTTCGGGGGAGAGGCCCCCCACTTCTTTAGGGAACAGTGTGACTTTTGTTTAAAGTCGGCAGCTGGTCCGCGCTGGCGGGGGACATCTGAGAGTGATGTGAGTGTAAACCCGTCTGGACCGCGTTTTCGCACTGAAGCTCGTCCCCAGTGTCCGGCACACTTCTGTCAAGAGGGTCACTCGGCCCAGAACCCCTCTGATGGGTCGGGGACTGTCACCATTTCAAAAGCGGCAGATGTCAGACCTGGGAGGGGCAGCCGTCAGCTTACGCTGCCCCCGATTTCCCACTGAGCTCCGAATGAGCTGCAGCTGAGCTGCAGATCTTAGCGAGTCAAGTCACGTTAAACCGGATGACTTCCTCAGCCATGCTAATCCCAGCTTCTGTTCCTGAAAATATGTTAGTGCCCATTTCTGCTATTTCCATAGTTTATTTTCTCTCAGTTTGCCCATCCATGAAACTTAGAACTAAATTATTTGGCAGGTCTGAGAGTAATCAGCCCTTTATAGTACTAATTGTTCAAAGGCTGGGCATGATTAAGCAATTAATCATTGACTCACATTAGCTATAGTTCTGATCCAAATGGCTCAAGCTAGCTTCCTTAGGCTTTGGGGGGGGCTTCAGAAAACTAAAGTGGTGACACTTTGGGATTTAAAAAACAGTCCTTTAATATCCCGACGGAAGTGAGCACACAGCTTCAAACGCGGAATCGTCGGGTCTCTTCCTCCATTTTGTCCAGCTGTTGGTCACGGACTCCATATGGGTTATAACCATAACTGTAACTGGTTTGTTTATAATGGAATGTCCTCTTTAAACGGGGGGCGAACAGGAATAGTTTGACATTCATAGCTACCGCTGACTGGATTTTAAAAAAGGGGGGATCCATTTTTAGGAGGCTGTTTACAGAAGCATGCAGTTTGGGGCGCCGTGATGATCCGCGGTTTAGCGCTTTTTAGCTGTGGAGAAGGAGCTGCAAGCAGGTCCACCTCCCCAACAGCTTTTGCCCAAACTTCAGCAAAGCAGATGCCTGGAGAGCGTGCTGCACTGGGGGCAGCCTCCCCCAATGCCCCCCCCCGATCCACACCGGCCCAGCTGGCTGGCAGACCTCGTTTGTACATCTTGACGAGAGGGATGAATCATCCCACGAAGGGGCACTAGTGACTGAACACTTAGTGAACTTCACCCTGCCACACTGAAGACTCTAGGATTCTAGTTGGTGGGGGAGGGGGCGCATAATTCATAGAGGGTCCAACCTTACCATTAGGTGATTATATGTTTTGATTAAGTGTTAGAGTGACAATCAGCTTTCTGCCTGATTAGTGCCTCTGTGGCTCCTCCCCTTTATAGGACCCTGCCCTGTCACAAGTCAGATGATTCCTTCCCTGTGGTGGCGAATCTGTGCATTTACATTTAATATATTTAGCACTTTTAGTGACGTACATTTATGGGGACTGCAAGGTCAGCCAGTCCCTGGAGCAATTGGGTTTAGAGTCCCATTGGTGAAATCAGTCTGCCGACCCTGGGATTTGAACCGCCGACCCTACGATCACAGACGCAGCGTCCTAACCCATTGAGTCCTGCACCAGACCCCCAGCCACCTACTGCCCCCTACGCCAAGCGGGGACAGACTTTGTTTCCAAATGGACTCCCTGGCGCTTGGTCAATGGAATTACGATGCAAGTCATACAGCTAAAGGCTAGCGCTTTGTTTGGCTTGGCCAGCCTCCCAACTTACGTCAGGAACCAGTGCGAGGAAAACAGGAAGATGTCGATATGCAGGCTCACGCCGCTGGAACTCCAGAACAGAGCACATGAGGTTGAGAAGCCCACAGAGTGGTGCGAAAGCTCCTTCTCTGGGAGAACTGCAGATTTTCTGAAACACTCTTAGACTGAAGGTACATATCACTGGGTCATGCTCTGAGATCCTGCCGTGACGTTGAGGTGAAAAGGTCTGGTTGACATGTCCTGCCCCTGTGTCTGGTTGAGGTCAGCCTAAACCCACAGGGTGATGTCTAGGCTGGGAAACAAAGCCAGGAGATGATTTTCGTGGTTGCTCTTTGACCCCACCCAGTCATATCACGGTCGGGCTCCGGTTGGCCCCCGTGTCGCACCGTGGGCTTATGGCCTGCCGGTGGGAATGTGGCTATTTCGAGCAATGAAGTGGCTCGAACTCTTTGACCTCCTTCTCCTACCTCAGTACTGCAGTTTTTTCCATGAAGCTTTTTTCTAACCTTTTGTTCCTGAAAAGTGCTCATTGTGTGAAATCGAGACGACAAGTCGCTGAGTGCTGCTACTGATGCAGCTCGTGTGCTGTTGGTAGGGGCTTGTCCTTCACTGGTTGCCTTGGGTTGGGTTGCATTGTGTTCCCTTGCGTTGCAATGGGTTGGGTTATGTTGTCTTGTCTTGTGTTGTCTTGTTTTGTGTTGGGTTAACAGCTTCCAGTTTGACCACCGTTCATATTCCCAGCATGCCCTCCAAATGCAGATAGACTACGTAATGTGGAATGACCTCCGTGCTTGAGGTCCCCTGACGTAATCTGCCCCAGTGCCCTCTTGGATCAACGATGCCTTGTCTGGGCCTAGATTCGGTGGGATGGGGGCGTCATGGAGGTGGGGGCAGGCCCGACATGAACTATTTATTTTTTCCGAACTTCAGTGGTGCTGTGTGGCATTCCGGAGGTGAGAGCTGGAATTGTCGTGGTGCCCAGGGTGCTTGGCACGCGTCGCTTTCAGTGTCCGGGATCGACCCAGAAGCCTCCTGACACTCTGATTTTTCTGGGTAGCAGACGGATAAAGTTTGCCAGCCGCTAAACATTTGGAGGGTGAGCTGAAGAGATTTACAGAAATTGAGAACCAGTCAATCTCAATGACTGTCTGAGTTTGAGTTTGTGTCCAGGTGGTTAGGGTTTCAGCCCGGATATGAGAGGTCTCACTGTGGTACCTGTTTGTGGCTCAGTGGCTTAAGAGATCTGTGACTCATAGGTTGTCAGTTCAAGCCCTATGGTCGGCAGAGTGATTTCAGGGAACATTTAGTAGCTCAAGAAGTAGAGCATTGCTATACCCTCAGCTATAACTCGCTTTCGATAAAACCACCAGGTAAATGTAAAGCACTGTTGTGCCCTTGAGCGAGGCCCTTGATTATGACACCCAGTTGCTTTGTTAGACATATATATCGCTTTGGATGGAAAAGTCTGCTAAATAAGTGTAGCGTAATGTGCCTTTGACTGGGGCTATGTCTGAATTGCTTCTGTAAATATCCAGTTTAAACCTGGCTCAGTGAGTACCGCCCCGTCTATAAGCGGGAAAATGCTGCCCAGCTTTCCCTCAGACGGAAACGCCAAGGTGAGCCTGACGGTTTGCTTTGCGGCTGTGGGATATGAGCCGTGTTCAGCCCAGGAGGCCCGGTCCATCGCGCCCTTCATCCCACGCGGCTCCTGGTTCCAGATCCGGCTACCGCTGTCTTCTCTTTTGGGTCCTTTTTCCTGACGGCAGGGGTCTGTATGTTGCCATGACTCTGGGGGTAGATTGCAGGGGTGGGGGGGCAGTCACCTGCCTTGGACTGTCAGTGTACGCTCTCTTTTCAGTGCGGAGTTAGACTAAAACTTTGTGTGGGGCCTGAGATTTCAGTGTCTGGGTCGGTACTTTGGCCATAACAATTGTCCCATTTCTTAGACTGATTTCAGTTATGGCACCATAAGATGACAGATTATTCCGCTCAGAAACGTTTGTTGGTAAACTACCTGATTAACTCATAAAATTTGCCATATTTACCCTAATTACTGGTACACACACATATATTACTGGTTTAGGGCCAATCAGGGAAAATATCTGCCATTGTCAATCACTAGCCCATTGATTGGTGCATGCTTAGTAATTAGATGGACACTTAGTGGCAGTGGTAATGAGATTGACGGGTAATGGTAATGAGATGGATGGATAATGGTAATGGGATGGACTGGTAATGGTAATGAGATGGACGGATAATGGTAATGGTAATGGTAATGGGATGGACGGGTAATGGTAATGGGATGGACGGGTAATGGTAATGGTAATAGGATGGACGGGTAATGGTAATGAGATGGACGGGTAATGGTAATAGTGATAGTAGAGGGTGGATGTGTGTACAGGCCCTCTCCTCGCTACAGTGCTTTTTGATGAAACCTCTCCACGAATTGCCTTGACAGTACCTTCCGGTGAGGAGACCTACCTCCACCCTGTCTGTTTTTAAGCCCGGTTCGCCCTTGTTTGTCTGCTGCTGGACCTGGATGAAGCTCCCAGTATGTCAGCATTTTTGGGCCGTCTGCCGTCACAGAGCTGTTCTTGGCACGTGGGTGTGTGTGTGTTTTCCTAACTTTGTGGTGCATTTTTGAAGGAATGCGTCGGCTTTATTTTAAACTAGAAACACCAGAACTTTTTATGGATGCATGATGCATTAAACCGAGAGTCAGTGAAACGGGCATAAAAATTATGGACATCTGTCTGTCTCTCTGCCTCTCTGACTGACTATCTGTGTGTGTGTGTATGTGTCTCTCAGTCTCTGCCTGTCTCTCTGCCTCTCTGACTGACTGTCTGTGTGTGTGTGTGTGTCTCAGTCTCTGTCTGTCTCTCTGACTGTCTGTGTGTGTCTCTCTCTGTCTATCTGCCTCTCTGACTGACTGTCTGTGTGTGTGTGTCTCTCAGTCTCTGTCTGTCTCTCTGACTGACTATCTGTGTGTGTGTGTATATGTCTCTCAGTCTCTGTCTGTCTCTCTGCCTCTCTGACTGACTGTCTGTGTGTGTGTGTGTCTCAGTCTCTGTCTGTCTCTCTGACTGTCTGTGTGTGTCTCTCTCTGTCTATCTGCTTCTCTGACTCTCTGTCTGTGTGTGTGTGTCTCAGTCTCTGTCTGTCTCTCTGACTGTGTGTGTGTCTCTCTGCCTCTCAGACTGTCTCTCTGTTTGTTTGTGTCTCTCTGTGTCTGTCTTTCACTGTCTATCTCTGTGTCCCTGTGTGTCTCTGTGTTTTGTTTGTGCAGGTGAGGGTGTGTGCATCTGTAATTCTGTGTGTAGTCTAAGGCCACAGGGGGGAGGGGGAATTAAATCCAGCAGATTTAATATGGAGGCTTTAAAACCACAGGCCAGATGCCGGCCAGCTTTTGCCCTGGTTCTGGTTAAGCCTGTGCTGCTTTGTACTGTACAGGGAGGAGGAAGAGCGTGGGGCATCTTACCAGTGTGTTGGTATGGGGTTTGTGTGATGACCTCATCGCTCCTCCACCCCCCCGACTCCCTCAGACCGACCTTGGCATCCGTCCCCATTCTTTGTGATGCCTATTGCAGGGGGTATTGGGCGTGTTGCCTTTTCCCAAGGTGTGTTTTTTGGGAGGGGGCGGGGGTGCTGAGCTTGCTCTAATGACCCCGGATCCATTACCCCGCCGATGTATCCCAGAACCCCTTGGGGGCGGTTGCCGCAGTAACAGCAGCGGTCTGCTGCTGTACGCTGTTCCGTTAGCGGCCCATTAAGTCTGGCGGTTTTGTGATCGCTAATGCAGGCCACCCTTAAAGGGCTCTTATTGCCCGGGAACTGCTAGCGTACTCTCATTAGCCTCCTAGCTGCTGAAAGATTTACCGCGGTTTATGACCCTGCTCTTTAGGGGGGGGGTCAGATTCAGGCTGTCCCCTGGGCCGCCCTCCATTACCTTCTGCTGATCCTGGCCCACTTAAACAGGTACCTTAATAATAAAACATACATCCATCTGCAGTGCTGCTCAGCTGAGCTTCCAGCAAGTGACCAGTAAGACCAGTAAGATGGTTATGGGAACGAGATCTTTGTGAGCCACATATCAGAAATACTGATACCCAGACATCAACGAGAGAGAGTCTATTAGGGGATTTTAGATTTTTCTTTTAAGCTGGGGTGTATAAGAGGGGCTATAATGCCTACAGGGGGGCAACCTTATTAGCCAATGATATGCTTTGAATCTGTGAGTGCCAGGGGAGGGGGCACTCTATCTAAATACACCCCAGATAGACGGATTCCCTGTGTGGCTCCTGTC